AGGTAGCTTTCCATATATACGAACCCCACGGAAACAGATTCCATGCATTTAGGTCCTCTACCAATAATATTAGCTCATGAGGAATAGGTTGTCTGGCCTCTCTGCCTAAAAAGCCGACATACAAAAGTACTAGAAGGCATACTCGGACAACATCGACGTCATTTATCCGAGTAAAACTATCTTTCTTATTAAACAATTTCTTCAGGTCGTCGATGTGTAAGTTCGGCTTCTTTATTGACTCATCAGGAAAAACCCTGGATAACCATGATGGGCGGGTGATATGACGAGTGTACCAGCCTACATCATCGTGTCCGAATCGTAGACCAATGATTAAGCAGAACTCCTTCAGCCCAAAACAAGTATACGCCGATGGAAAATGAAACCATATCTCTTCCTCACCACGTTGTATACTGTCGGGTAGATTGCTAGTCATGGTCTGAAGCCACAAATGGGTCAAATTAGCATCTCCACCCGGATGCTGTACTCTCAGCCATGGCCCGAAGTAGGTTTCCTCAAACAATTTTCTTTGTGCAGGTGAAAGCTTCGAAGCAATTGTAGTGGCTAGGCTAACTTTATTCCTTAATGTCAATGCAGCCGAAAAAAATTTCTACAAAAACAATAAACATACCAAGTTAGATATACCAAAAACTACACTGTGAATATATACCAAAAACAATAAACATAAATAGTAGTTTATTCTTAAAACTAAAATTTGCAACACTGTTTTGTCTTTTGGTTGAAATGAAAATCGCAACGAGAGAATGAAAATCGCAACGCGGAAATGACTATCGCAACGAGAGAATCGCAACGCGAAATGAAAATCGCAACGCGAAATTAAAATCGCAACGCGAAATGAAAATCGCAATGCGATTTTGGTTTCGAGTTGCGATTCTCTCGTTGCGATTTTCATTTCGCGTTGCGATTTTCATTTCGCGTTGCGATTTTCATTTCTCTCGGTGCGATAGTCATTTTCGTGTTGCGATTTTCATTTTCATGTTGCGATTTTAAGTTTAGAAACTATTCTTCTTCTGCATTACTTCAACCAAAAGACAAAACAAAGACAACTACTAACTTCACAGGGTTAAAGACTAAATAGTTTAGCAGTATTGGCAGCAATCGAATGAATCTAATAAGAAATCTAAGTGAAATGATTAATCTATTATTGAAATTACCAGTAAACTTATCATCAATTTCAATATGAAAAACATAAAATAATGCAAAAATTTTAAAATAAAAATAATTAAAAAAACTAACCCTCGGAGGTTGATTTTTCATTTCTGAATGATTGTGAGAGATTTTTGACCGTGAATGGTCGTGAGGGATTTCGCCGGAGATGGGGACGGAAATCTTCGGAGATGGGGACGGATTTCGTCGTAGAGAGTGAGAGATGGAGAAGTGACTGAGTTGTGATTTTAGGTTTTAGGTTATGAGTTGCGATTACGGGATATACTGTGGACGGTTCAGTTTCCGATATATTAATATATTCGTGTTTGGAATTTGAAAAAAAATACGCGTTAATACGAATGACGCTATGTAAATCGCAATGCGAATTAGGAAAATCGCAACGCGAATTTGGGAAATCGCAATGCGATAGTCAGAATCGCGTTGCGAATCTAGAAACTGATTTGCGATACCGGAGATCGCGTTGCGAATTATCGATCGCATTGCGATTTAGTTGGTCATTTTGGCAAATCAAAAAAAAGTTGGTTAAAATCGTATATTATAAGACATTTTTGATCACTGAGGTTATTTTCTCTATTTTTATTTATAAAAAAAATAAAGTAAAATTTATATTTTTTAATAATATTTTTTGTATCATATTATTAATATAATACGTTAATAAAATAAAGTAAAAATAAATAAAATTTATATTTTTTAATAAAACCATTTACATTTTTAGTTGTGATAGTTGATTATAAAAATTCAAAAATATTCAAAATTCGGAAATGTTATTAAGAACATACGAAAAATCAAATACATGATCCGAACCATCATGTTAATGGAGCTCATAAGCAGAACCGACTCGGTAGGGGAGCATTATGAGCTCCTGCTCAGGATCTCATCTTCCCCTTCATAAAATAATAAAATAATATATTTTATAATATTATAAGTTAGTCACGATCTTTTATTATTTTAATTGTATTCAAAGGATTTTTTTATAAAAAAATAATTTATTTGATAAAATTTTAATTATACTCCTATAATTTATTAATAGGAAATTATATATATATATATATATATATTTTAAAATAATAAAATATGCTTTCGTTTTATATGAACATATTTTTTAAATTTTCACTCCCGGCTCCTAATTTTTTGAGTGAGCTCTACCTGTAAGCGGTGTCCCCTCTTTCGAGAAATTTACTATCTGATTTGAAGGGATTTACTTTGGATTTGGATAGCGGCATATTCAGGGGGTGGGACTTAGGCCATGACCACCCATGTCTTAATTTTTTTTTAAAATATATAAGTCCCGTTAAAAAATTATATTGGTCTTATTGATATATTTTTTTATATTCAGAAAAAATTATTATTATTAATTTTTTAAATAAAAATATATACAAATAATAGTAGATAATTTTTATTATACTTATTTTAGTTCACCTAATAATATTTTTTTAAAATATGTTAGATGAAAAAAATCAGGGAGGGATTTACTTTAGATTCAGAACAGGGAATGGGATGAAGAAGTTGTGATATTGAAGATATGGGGTTGACGGGGGGTGAGTTTGCAGTACGGATGAAGTTATTTATCATCCATGAAATTAAAAAAAAAAATAAGGACTCGAAATACTAAAGAGTGAAACAAATACAAAGCTGAACCAAAGGAGAATAGTAGGAATGAAGCTTCTTCGTTGTATCTAAGAGGAAATTCTAAAAACAGATTAAATTAAAAAAAATCAATAATATATTTAAGATCATTTTTATTTTATTATATCTTACATAAATTAATTTTTTAAAAATACATCTTATGTCATTTTCTAAATGATCTATTATTAATGCGTTAAACCTCATCATGAAAATATATAAAATCATCAACCGTAAATTTCAGTGAATAAAATATATTATCAATTAATTAATTTATTTACAAATATTTATTTAACTTACGTCTTTGAGGACCTGCGTTGCTTTGGATCGAGGCCTAGTCCTAAATTGGGTGTGGGTCATTAACTAATTACAAATCTATGTATTTATGAGAAAATAACCTCAGTGATCAAAAATCTTAAATAATATACGATTTTGATCAATTTTTTTTGGATTTGTGAAAATGACCAACAAAATCGCAATGCGATCTCTAATTCGCATTGCGATCTCCACTATCGCAAATTCGCGTTGCGATAGTTGAAAATCGCGTTGCTATTTTTCATTTCGCGTTGCGATTTTCCATTTCGCGTTGCGATAGTCTACAGTTGTCGTTGCGATTTTCCAAATTCGTTTCAAAAATTCGTTGTGATAGTTAAAAAAAAAGATTTTGTTTCTTAAGAATTTTCTCTAAAAAGATAGTATCCGCGCGGACGTGTCGAAGACACGTATTACCATTACCATTACCATTACCACGACCACGACGGCGGCGGCGGCGCGCGAGAGTCCCCCTTGTTCTCTATCACTCAACAAGGAAGTGGGAAAGCCAAGCCTTAAATACCATTCCCAATAGTATTTCCAATACTATGTGGGATTGAGCATTACCAACATTTGTTTTCAATACAATGTGATTATTCAGGAAACAATTAACAATCATGCACCTTAAAAAAACTGAATCAGCAACCAATTGCATTAGTATTATACGATTAAATATGTCATAATTAAAAGTCAATCTATAATCAATCGCGATTATTGCAATTTTAAGCAAAACATTCAAAAATAATATCACTATTTAAGGCTCAATCCCACATAGTATTGGGAACAAGTGTTGGTAATGCTCAAATCTCACATAGTATTGGAAACACTATTGGGAATGGTATTTAAGGCTTGGCTTTCCCACTTTCTTGTTGAGTGATAGAGAACAAGGGGGACTCTCGCGCACCGCCGCCGCCGTCTGTCTCGTCTCGGGTCGTGGTCGTGGTCGTGGTCATACGTGTCTTCGACACGTCCGCGCGGATACTATCTTTTTAGAGAAAATTCTTAAGAAACAAAATCTTTTTTTTTTAAAACTATCACAACGAATTTTCGCAACGAATTTGGAAAATCGCAACGACAACTGTAGACTATCGCAACGAATTTGGAAAATCGCAACGACAACTGTAGACTATCGCAACACGAAATGAAAAATCGCAACGCGAATTTGCGATAGTGGAGATCGCATTGCGATTTTGTTGGTCATTTTCGTAAATCCAAAAAAAATTTGTCAAAATCGTATATTATCTGAGATTTTTGATCACTGAAATTATTTTCTCTGTATTTATTTCGGTCGAGATCTATTTACAAATGCACCCTATGTGAGCTGTGGTCATGCAGATTGGTCTCATCACCAGGACCAGACGAGTACGCTCCGGTTCATATCACACCTCTCTACGCCCAATGCCACCACAACACATAGCTTTTATACGTAAATATAAATGCTCTTTCCTAACACTGCCAATGCGTTCACTAAGATGCGATGTTGCATGAGTTTCTAAATTAACTCTGTTTTTTTAGTGTGTTTTCATTAACTAATTTTCCTTTGAATTTCTTCACTGCATTATTTTACGATTAATTTGTTGTGGAGTCATGAAAGGAAGGTTTTCGAGTGATGTGAGTCGTAGGATGATAGATATGGGATTAGGACACATGCGTGGTGAAGAATTCGCCCATCTTGTGACGTCAGATAGCGGGTATGGAGACTGCCCGGGTGGTGGTTCAGAGAATTCGCCCGTCTTTACCAATTGGACCCCTTAATTATCTCCTACTACCCTAACCCCCTTATCCCAGAGCCCATTACAAATATTGGTTGATGGGCCTCTAATCACTAGGTCATAGCACCGGACCAGGCTGTGCCGTCAGTTGAAGCAGTCGTTGCAGAAATGGGCAGTGGTGGCAACACTCTCAAAAGCTTCACCATCCGACTCTCTTCCAATAGCCATTCATTCTTCCATGGAAAAAGCTTCAACGAATCGCCTATCATCAGCCAAAGATGGAGAGTTTACTCTTTGTCCTCTCCTCATAAACTCACAAGTTTCAAAGGTTCTCCTTCTATGCGTTCCTTTTCAACCTCGTCATCGTCTTCAAAGGTGGGATTATTGGGATGGTATTTAGAGAAGCTTGAATCCAATCCTGTTATTACAAAATCTATCTCAACTTCGATTATCTTTGCTTCTGCTGATTTTACTTCTCAGGTAAATCCCGTTTCTTTAGGTTTTAGCTTATCCCAATTTGAGAATTTTTAAAATTTTCAATGTTGCGAACAAGGGTCTGGATATTTTGCATTTTGATTGCTTTATGGAAATAGAATCTATTTGTTTAAGGAAGTGTCCGTTGCATTCCAGGTGTTTATTGATGCTTGCATTAACAATTATTGCCTTGCAGTAATGCAATTATTTTTATCTTGTTGAATTATCTGTTATTTTTTTCGAGTTAAATTAACTTCCAAAAATACCTTTGAGCTAACCTGGTTCCAAATATGGTACTTATTTATTATATTGTTTTTTTATATCTCCATTTCTATAATGCTGTTGCTTTATTATTTGGTGATTTGCCATAATTATGTTTCCTTCTCACATTTTTTTAATTAACATCTTCGTAGATGATCACATCATCTTCTGGTTATGACTTCGTACGGACATTACGGATGGCTGGATATGGATTGCTTCTCTTGGGGCCATCGCAACATCTTTGGTTTAACTTTTTGTCAAAAGCTTTGCCTAAACGAGATATGCTGACTACCTTCAAGAAAATGTTTTTGGGGCAGGCTGTCTTTGGGCCTCTGATCACTTCGGTTTTCTTCTCCTACAATGCGGCATTACAAGGTTACTGATCCGTCACCCTTTTTTCTTTAAGCGAGTACAGCTGCATATTGTAAGTGCAATGTTGGGACGTGGGGCTTTCTACAAACTATATTCTCCGAATCTATGCTTTATTGGGAGTTTTATTGTCTTCATTGAGTTCAGCAGGTGACATAGCAAAGGTATCAACCATCATTATTTCATAAATTCTCTTCAGCTGAAAACCAGAGATCTCATCTTGGATGAACTGTTGTCACTTGAACCTTGTAGCGTTTTTTTATGTTTCTAGTTTTGCCCGTATCATGCAATGTCCTTTTGGCTACTGGTATGCTATTTGTGCTTGCTATTTGCTTGACTTTGTAGCCCTTTCTAATGGGGCCTTGTTATTGTTTTTGTCTTTTACTGTCTAGTTTTGTAGTTGTACCCATCCTCCGAAAATAGAGTACGATAGTTAAGTGCTATCACAAGGGTTTCAAAGATGAAGCCCCAGTTCTTTTCTTGTACTTATTTTATATAACTAAGTTTCAGGTTGTTTGATGTTGGTGTTCCGATAATGAAGTATTGTTCTTTGACTTCTTATTGTGTTTCCGTAGGTGAAAATGCTGAAGAGATTGCTGCTAGATTGAAGCGTGACCTCCTCCCAACATTAATAAATGGTGCTATGTTCTGGCCAACCTGTGATTTTGTTACGTACAAATTTGTACCGGTTCATCTCCAGGTATTTATGGGTTACCGCCATCTGTTTTTTCAACTTTCCCATATCCAATTGCTGTGAATACTGACTAATACCTTTGCTAACATTTTTTTTTCTGGCAGCCCCTAATGAACAGTTCATGTGCCTATATATGGACAATCTATTTGACATACATGGCAAGCTTAAACAAAGTGAGCGTGGAGTAGAGAAAATCTTTTAGTTTAACTCAACTGTCAAACTGAAATTCGTCCTGGAAGACACGATCGACAACTGAAAAGCAATCTTTAGTATCGAATATTTCATATAATCGGTAGCCATGCCTCTGGTTCTTTAGAGATAGAATTATATTGTCGCTCTCATTCAGTTTTCGGGTCCGCTATTTTCTTTATTCATTTATTGAGCTATTTACATCTATTGAAATCGGACTGGCTGCTTGCTGGCTTCTTCTGTCTGGTTAGTACTATGTGAAAAAACCCGTTAATTTGGGTTGAAAACTGGTCAATCAGTTAAAGCTGATGAAGAGTTGCAGTGAATCGGTGAAACAATCTCTTTTCCGCGGGCGTGTGTGTACTGTGTAGTTAATGAGATTGAATTTCTATCTTCTAGTTCTACGTTAAAGGTCATATATTAAGCTAAATGCACAACTTTTGTTAATAATTGTTTATTAATTATATTTCATATTGATTTAGGATTGAAATTAGCATTTAAACATTACAAAAAAGTTATATTAAATCGGTTTACCTTACTGGTTGAATTGGTTGGATACAAAATTGAGAGACTGATTTGATCACTTTTCTCCTTCACTTAACGATAAATAAAGATCATAAAATAGTTGAGACATGGATCCATCTGTAGATAACAATATTTAACGATGTGTAACTTTGTACGCAGAATTACGAACTCTGCCATATAAAAAATCTTGAAAACTACATCTTTTCTAAACCTTCTAATTCTAAAGATTAAATTTTGTTATTTTATATAAGAATGCTTGATAAAATCTTATTCATTATGGTTTTCTTCCTATTGATAATTTACTATTTTATATAAATTTAGTTATTTAATAATCTATAGTCAATAGAATTCTAATAAAATTTTAATGGATTATTAGCAAGTAAAATTTAAGAGAATCTCTAACATAACTTGGATATTGAGCCACAATAAAAGGATTTTGAGCAACTAAAAGTTTCACGGTTAGCTCAATCAGAGAGAGAACTCTCCCACCAAGTATATTAAATGCATTCATAATAACTGTTCTGGTCACTTGTCTTCCATACTGGACATAGAACAATTATCAGATGCCAAAGGCTTCTTGAGAGATTGCAGGTGAAGAAAAACAGATGGTACGATGTCTCTTTTACGGTTCGCATAAAGGACAGTCCGGTGAAGAGCCTCAATCAGGATATGAAGGAGTACCTTGGTCTATTGAACTTGAACAACACGACCTGTGTGCCATGCCACTTCCACCTCCGTTTTTATGTATCCCCATTAGTTCAAGTAGTCAGCATTCAATAGATTCTTGGTTCGAACTCCACAAAATTGATTAAAACAAACAAACAAACAAAAACTGGTAAGTGGTAACACTTGTAATAATAATATGGTAAATTACATAAATAGTCCCCCAACTATAAGACACTACTCCGTTAAATCTCTCGACTATTAAAAATTATAAAATGATATTCAATTAACCCACTTTACTGGCTGGAGCATGTTCTTTTTCAGACACTGGAAACGACAGAAAATCATCACCATCCCACTTTCTTAGCCAAACTATAAAATCTTTTCCCCACTTTAACCCTGGATTCAATTAAGGAAGGGATATGATATTCAGCAGGGTTCTAGGGTTTAAGATTAATGTTTTGTAGTTAGTAAAGCATATTTACCGTTCATACGTTGGCGGCGGCCGGTTTTGTCTGAAGTTGTGTGCCAAAGCTTCATTTAGTTAGGAGAGTAGTTGTAACAAAACAAAAAGTTGTTCCGAGTTTTAATGGTTGGTGATGTATGAGAAAAAGCAAACAAACGGTGCATTGGCAGTTGCCACAAAACAAAATGCTAAAGAGTATTGGAGAGAAGAACGTGCCCAACGGCTCGAATTCCCACCACATTTTTTTTGTTTTGTTTTTCTGCCGCATTGAAGTCTTCTTTCATTTCTCACAATGACACTGTTCCTCCCCTGCAAAAACAATGGCAATTACTCCCTTCTCTGCATCCCTACAGCCATGAGAGACCAGATAATGAAACTCACATGCTTTCTTTTATTATTCACTTACCCACCATTAAAGTTTCAACCATTTATATTGTACATTTATATATATATATATATATATATAAATACATGTTCAATCCCCTCAAAACCATGGCATGGGCCGCTCTTAGGCACTAGAGACAGTAATCACGAGCCACCTACTTCATCTCCTTATCCCCACGGGTTTTCTGGACGACTTTGAAGTTTCTCGAATCTAGGGTGACGAAAACTTGTTCCTTTATTTTTCTTTAAATATACTTTGGTAGCTGGATATAAAGAGTTCTCCAGAGTTTTTTCAAGGGTTGTAGTTAAGAGAAATCAACTCTTTGTTTGGAAGAGAACTCATCATCCGCCATTGACATCGCCATTATGAAGTTCCCTGGGATTTGGGTTTTCTTCTTTGTGGTCGGGGCAGCGTTGGTTGCCTTTACCTTCCTCAGCAGCTCCTCCATTTCTGGTAAATGTTTCAATTCGTACTCTTCTGTTTTTCTTTTATTAAGTGAGCACAATCTATTTGTCCTTAAAAAAAATTATGGGCTTGTTCTCGTAACTGGACCACGGGTAATTGCTGCACTTGGAGCTGTTGTCAGTGATATTATAGCAAAATGCAATAATGCACAGTTCTTTAAACTTCTTCCATCTGATATTAGTTACTATATAGTTAAATAATATACTATTTTGCATAAATACTGAAAAACCGTTTATTTGTTAATTATCTGACTATATTATCATAATACTTCTAACTTCATTTAAGGAGAAATGAACGCATGCAATCCCATTTGTTTATGTGCACCAACGGCAGTTATGAAGTCTGTTAACTGATTCTTTTCCAGTAACAATGAATAATGTAAACATTTTACTCCCTTGTCCCATTATATCGGTCTAATGTTTACTTTTTTTTTTATCAATTTTTTAACTTTGACTCATCATTATTTAAAATTTATTATTGATAAAAGTATAAAAAATATATTTTAAAAACCTTAAATCAAATAGTTTTTTAAATATATATTTTATAAAATTTAATGGTTTAAAATATTTAAAATAATCATTGTCAAAGTTTAATTTTTTTTTACTTTTAAAGAGTCAATAATAGACACATTTAGTGGGACTGAGTGAGTATTTTTTTAATAGTTCTAAAGTGACGGGCATATTATAAATGATTGAGTGTTTTTTTTGAATAGATACAATTTTATATGAATCAAACAACATTAGTGGTTAAAGTGATGCTTGTTATCTCTTTAGATCTCAAGTTCAAGCACGTTGAGTATATGAGTGTTCATTATTAACTACTCTCTCTGTCCCACTAAACATGTCTCTTTTGGTTTTTAAAATTATCTCGTTCAAAATGTCATTTTAGAAAAATAAACAAACAACAACTATTATATTTTATTTTTTGTCCTTATATGTCTCACTTTTTCACATCTATCAAAACACATGACAAATCTATCAATCACATTTTATGAATAATTTTATCATTTTTAGTGATCAAATCAATCTCCTAAATATACGTACATATATACGTACATAATCGATATAAGGCATAAATTATAAGACGGAAGGAGTAATTGAATCCTTTGATCATATACCAACGTATACTGACGCAATATTTATAACAAGAAGTGACCAGAATATAATGTCAAATCAATCTTCCCAATTATCATAACCTTGCAGATAATAACTTTAATGCACAAACTTTGGTGACTGCACTTGGCTGGTTGTCATTTAAAGAATTAAATGACCTCACTGCATCCTATTTCTTGTTATGCAAGTTTTACGGAAATGATTTTGGTCAAGCGTTCGGGTTGTCTTTAACCCCAACTCTCGTCTTTGTTTTCTTTCTTTTGGTTGTTGCCTTGCTAGCTGTAGGGTAAAGCAATTATTTATTGTTTTATTTCAGTGGTGTTTATAACTAATCGATCCACTTGTGTTTGGCCCGTATCTGAATCACGCCAATAAAACAATGTAGCTTAAAATTGCAGCTTTGCATGTCAATGTCAATTCATGATATTCGAGCAACGTTTTCACGGACTTAATGATCAGAATTATCTCCTTTTCTTAGAAAATGATCAAATGTTTCTTGCTAAAGTTAATGCATTGTGCACGTAAATCTAATAAAAAAAATAGCAGCAACCAGACATATATCACCATAGGAATCAATAATAATTACATGAAAGCAGATTCTTAAATGCCCCAATCGCAGGTATGGAGTTTTTGCAACATGGTGACGGTACAAGGGTGACTGGAACAAGTAGGAAGCTGAAGGTATCATGAATGGCCACAACCAGCTAAGACAAATCCTTATTTTTGTTTTAGAATTTTGAGGCGTTTTCTCATCTGAATTTGCAGGGGATTGGGGATAGTACAAGCAAGGAAAAGCAGAGGAATGTGGATATGGAAGATTACGATCCCATTGATCCAGTTCCACGCTCAAAGGCATCTATAAAACCTGGCCCTATTGAGCATGGTAGTCCTCTTATTCCATATATTCCAAAACCCTCACCTCCCGGTAATCCCAAGATTGGGGGTTCCACTTAGCCATCTGAAAGTTGATTCTGTCATTTAAAGAATGTGGCTACGAAATCTGTATCGTCTAATATTTTAACCAGCTGTGTTTTCGAATCCTGTCCACTCAATAACTTCAAGTTGCCTATGTAAACAGCTTATTGTGTTTGTGTATTGATCGTCTGTTCGGTACTGGCCTTGTATTGTTAGTCATTTCTATTTTAGTGGATTAACCATCATATCTATTATCTGCTGACTTATTCCTCAATTTGTAAAAGTATTAATGGGTTTCTACTTTGGTGCTTTGTCAATGAATATTTGATGAATATAAGCTGTAATTTTCATACGTACTGGGGTTGAGCTACCAGGCAACTAACAGAAAACAAGCAATGAACATGGATAGGAAACAATCACGGTGCCTCCCATGGTGGACCTGCTTAAGCAAAGACTGAGGCTAATATAAAAAGAGAAGGTGACCAAATCAGCAACCCTCAGAAAGCTAACGAAACTGGAATTGTTTATATCACCAACCCCATTAACTATAACACACAAAATAACCACATTTCTTTGATTTTTCTTCAACTTCGCGCCAGTACTGTTTTTATTGGTTTTCCTTTATATTTTCAAGGGTTAACTACAAAGATGATCACTAATGTTTGTGTTTTGTCCATAGCCTAAGTGCAAATTTCTTTCTTGATCCCAACAGCTGAATGGAAATAAAAGAGTTGCAAAAGCGACTGCATTCATTTAGTCCCTTTCTTTTGGTTAGTTATGCCTGGTAGAAAGTAGATATCAATCTCATAATCACCAAAGCAATGGGACCGTAGAAAACTCATTTATCTCGTCCATTGCTTCAGCTACCATGTGGTTGGCATTTCTCGAACAGGGATTAGTTCCTATGACTGCAATGGCATTTTGGATCTTCAACTTTGACTCCAATTTTAAGCGAGTCTTCATCTCTAGCCGCCTACAGTGAGTGCAAGAGAAGGAAAATTGATTCCCCCCCCCCCCTCTCGGGATGGTCCTTTGATGGAATTTAATGGAAGCTTGTATTGATGTCCCCAAATATTGTGATTATGATTTGTAACACTTTAGGAGGTCTTCATCTTTTCTCTTTGTGTAGTTCATCGAATCAAATTTGTTCATGGCAGATTCTTTGAGTAATGTATTGTGTTAGTAATGCTCAATCCCACATACAATGGGAAATACATTGGGATTGGGTATTTAAGGCATTCTCCACTCCTTTATTGAGTGATAGAGAACAAGGTGGCTTCTTGTGCACCATGGATGTGGACGTAGTTGTGGCTTATTACTATAATTTTAGAGAAAATTTTTAAAAGATTTGTGAAAGAATAATATTATGATATTTATAGGCTGCCTGAAAATTAAAATCGGAACAATTAAATTATGAAATTAAACATGTGTAACGTTGCATGTATCTAGACTATTTTACATCTATGTTCAAAGGGATTAACAAATGATTATGGTGTCAGTTACAAATATAATTACATGAGTTATAGAAGTAATTATATGAGTTACAAACGGCTAAAAATGAATGCACGAACCTAGACTAATTTGGGGCCAGATTCAACAGTGAATTGCAACAGTCTTTGGACAAGGTTTAAATTTGGAATTAATCAAATTTATATATGATTTTTGTTAGACAAATTTACCCCTGAACCAAGCCTATAAATAGAGAGCTTCATATCACTCTCAACTCACCAATTCACTCAAACATCTCTCAAATCTCTCAGAGCTTTCTAAGCTGACTCTTTTCGGCGAGGAGCAGTACCACCAACAGTCCACTCTAGTTCTGGGTGTACGGAATTTGGAGCGACCTTGTTAACCTCGAGGAATGATCTGCCTATTGGACCGATTACACACACCGGGGCGAACTCATTTTTAAGGCAGTGGTTTTACCATGACACAATTTACAACGATTGAATTATTTAATTTTGTTTATTTTTCCAGTCAGTGCTAATGGTGTGATTTTGCAACCAAAATTTCCAACAATTTAGAAACGAATTCATATACTGCAAATATGACATCATCTTTGAGCAAGCTGATTCCCGACCTTTCCAAGCTCGACGCACTCGATGGAAAGAATTACCGGAGGTGGTCCTAGCGAATACTGATATTTTTCAAGCAGCTTGACCTGGATTACGGGTTGGTCAAGCCACCACCAACCATGCCGCCGACAACCTCAGTTGTCGGAAATGATATTGATGTGGTTCTATTAGATGTCACCTTAGCCGCTACTGCTGCGACTGTTATTACCACCAAGAAATACGATAAGGACAATAAGACGGTGTGAGGATACCTTCTCAGCCACATGTCTAAAAAATTATTTGACATGTTCCTTAAGGAAAGAAGTGCCAAGGTGATCTGGGACACTCTAGAGAAGAAGTACAATGATGACGATACAGGCATAAAGAAATACGTTATCGATGAATGGCTCAAATTCTAGATGATGAATGATAAGCTCATAATGGATCAAGTCTATGATTATGAGAATCTAGTTGCCGACATCGTTTCCAAAGGAATACAAATGTGTGAAGTGATCTAGGCCAATGTCATTATCAAAAAGTTGCCCAAGTCCTAGTCTGACTACCGCAACTCTGTCAAGCATAAGAAGATAGACATTTCAGTTGAGGAGCTGGTGGGCCACATGTAAATAGAGGAGACTAACCGATTTAAGGATAAGGTTACTAACTTTATTGGTAATTTATTCTTTAAAGCTAACTTGGTTGAATATGGTTATGCCTCAAGGTCTAAGTATAAAAGGAAAGCGAAAAAGGGGAATCAGAATAAGAAGACCAAGTCGCAAAAGGGCACCAACTTCAAGAAGCTAGGGAAGTCTAAAGCTAAAGGCAAGACCATCAAGTGCTATGTGTGGGGTCAAGTAGACCACAAACCTTACCAGTTCCAACACCATTCCGACCGTTAGAATGAGAACATACCATAGTTGAACTTTGCGGAGAACAATGTTGATGTCATTGCAGCGATGGTTTCAGAGGTGAATATGGTGGAGAACAATGTTGAGTGGGTCATTAGCACCGACGTTTCCAGACATTTCTACTCAACAAGGGAGTTTTTCACTAAGTTCGAAGATGGGGACGAAGGTGAACGTGTGTACATGTGGAATTTCAACGCTCTGAAGTGCTGGGAAAAGGCAAAGTTTTACTCAAGTTAACTTCCAGTAAAATTTTAGCCCTTAATAATGTCTTGTATGTACCTACCCTGCGTAGAAATTTAATAAGTGGCATACTTTTGAATAATACATGCATTAAGTTAGTTTTTAAGGAAGATAAACTTGTATTTTCCCGAGATGGTGATTATATTGGGAAATATTTTTTAAACGGAGGTTTATTTGTCATAGAAACTCAACTTAATGAGAATAAAGCTACCACTTTTGCTTACACTGTTGAATATGTTGATATGTGGCATGCTAGATTAGAACATGTGAATATTCAATCTTTAAAGAAATTGATGAAAATGAATGTTGTGCCTAAACTAGACATAAGTGGCTTTAATAAATGTGAAATTTGTGTAGAAACCAAGCATGTTAAACCTCACTTTAAGATTGTTTCTAAGAGAAAGAATGAATTGTTAGAACTCATTCATAGTGATCTATCAGACTTTAGAAACACTGAAAGTAAAAGAGGAAAACACTAGTACATAACTTTTGTAGATGATTACTCGAGATAGACAAAAGTTTATCTCCTTAGAACAAAAGATGAGGCTGAAAACTTCGTTCTTATTTATAAGGCAAAAGTTGAGAATCAATTAGATAGGAGAATCAAACGACTTATATTTGATAGAGGTTGTGAATACAAATCAAATTTCTTAAAAAATGTGTGTGAGAAGAATGACATAATTCACGAAACTTCAACCCCTTATTTTCCTCAACAAAACGATATAGCCGAAAGGAAAAATACTTTTTAAAGAGATAATGAACTCATAGTTTATAAGTTCAGGGTTATCTGATAACATGTGGGGGACGCCATTCTATCGGTAAATTATATATTGAATCGAGTACCTTATAAGAAATTAGATTCTACTTTATACGAGTTTTGAAAAGGATACACTCCAAATCTATAATACCTGAAAGTGTGTGGGTGTCTGGCTAAAGTAGGGTTACTGGATTTTAAGGAGTCCACCATCGAACCTAAAACCATTGATACAATGTTCATAGGGTATGCTACAAACAACGTCGCATACAGATTCATACTTCTACAAGATTTTTCTATTTGTGAGTCAAGAGATGCCATTTTCTTCGATGATTCTTTTCCTTTATAGAAATCTAGATTAAATGAAAAAACACAAATATAAAACATTCCATCCATTTCTTCTAGTGTACCTGCTAGATCTTCTAAAGAAATCATTTTCGAGCCTAGAAGAAATAAGAGACAAAGAGTTGAAACCTCTTTTGGACCAAATTTTATAACTTCCTTTATTTATGATATAAATGATTTAGACTCTATTTCTAGTCCTATAGTTCAAATATTTTTGTTAGATGAGGATCCTAAAACTTATGAGGAAGCTATACGATCTATCGATGCTAATTTCTAGAAAAGCACTATCAATGATGAACTAGAATCAATAATGTCTAATCATACTTAGGAATTGGTTGAGTTGCCTAGAGGATTCAAACCAATAAGCAACAAATTGTCTTCATGAAGAAACTCATACCAGATGGTTCTATCTAACGGTATAAGGAAATGCTAGTAGTTAAAGGGTTCATGCAAAAGTTTGGTTTAAACTTCTTCGATCCTTACTCTCCCATTACGAAAATCTAAGTGATACGTGCATTATTTACACTAGCCTCAATTCACAAGTTGTAAGTACATCAAATGGATATAAAGACTACATTCTGAATGAAGATCTAGATGAGGAGATCTATATAGAGCAACCCCTTGGTTTTGAGGCACCTGGTATGAAAGAGAAAGTATGTAGACTCAAAAAGTCACTTTACAGCTTCAAGAAAGATCCTAAATAGTGGTACGAGAAATTTCATAAAACTATCATTAGTTTTGGTTTTGTTGTGAATGGTTCGAATGTATGCATGTATTTGAGGATGATTGGTGTTGATTGCATTATCATAAGTTTGTATGTTGATGACATGTTAATTTTCAGTACTAACATTGAGTCCATTAACAAAACAAAAGATTTATTGTCTACTAAATTTGAGATAACCAATTTGGGAGAAGTCAATGTAATCTTAGGA